GTCTGGAGAAGAATGTAATTTTCATCAGCAGATCCATTCTGACGTTTTCATGAAACATTATAAGGTCAAAAACAAACAAACAATGAAACATGCATGTTCAAAATATGATCTATATTGTACATTTGCAAAATCTTCATTCCAAATTAAAATTGTACATAATATTTACTCAAAATTCTGTTTGAAAATTGGAACTGGCACAAGAAAACTGCAAAAAGAGAAAGAGTATCATCCAATTTCAATAAATCAAAATGGCCAAAAATCAGGCGATTAATCAATGCTCTTTATGTATGTGTATATAACTAAAGTTAACCTGATAAGGAATGAAAAAACAACCAGAATGTGAAGAAAGAAAAGTACAAGACTTGAAAAATGGTGTACAAATGCAGAATTAATCAACTTGCAGTCATACCGAGCAGACACGCATTGGCAGTGAGAGTCTATTTCACCCTGGCTCAAATTTAAAATCTTTACACACGCCGTCTGAGTGAAATAACCGTTTCCGATGCTGTCCAAGCAAATCCAAACACTTCCAGCTCTGATGTTTGTGTGCTTATCGTGTCATTTGGTGAGATAGTGTTGTTTCTGGTTCGTCATGCTGGCGGTAATGTAACGTTTGCTATCAAAGGCTCAAGGATGTGATAGCATCGCCGTCTGTCTGTTCTCCCTCTCACTTTCCTCATTCCAACCTATCAGTTTACTTTTCCCTCTCTTTCCTTCCTTCTTTTTTGAGCACTATGTGGTAATATAGACTCATTTTTGTAGAATTTCTAGGTTTATTCCACCACAGACTTATTAGGATAAAAACAAAATTTCGTTTTAGAAAAGTGTTGTTTTGCTTAACCACAGTGCAACGGAAAAAAGGCAAGCGTCCATGTAAAACAGCAACTTTAAGACCAAGCAGAGTGCTTTGCCAATCAGTTACTTACAGTCTCGGGGCACAGGACAAAATGTTAATCGGTGGGCCCCCTTTTCCAATAAGAAGGCTATAGCATAGTGCACTTTAGTGGGCCCCCCTCGTCACAGGGCTCGGGACAACATTCTTGGTTTCCCATCCCCCGATGACAGCCCTGGTCGGGAGTGGACGGAACTTAATAGTGGATGGAGCAAATCAGTTAGGAATACAGGGCAAAAGTCACACTGCATTATTAAAATTCATCAGCCAAATATATATGTTTTATAATGTTTCCCTCCACCAGCTTTGATTTTGAATCAAAATATATAGTAAATCACTGACAGGATTTAATTTAATTACCCTTCTGTCATTTTTTATAATTTAATAGTATTTGAATTAATATTTAACAATTGTGTCATTGGCATCTGTATTACCTCTACAAGGTTAATAGACATAAGTAAACCTAAACAAAAAGGTTTAGTGTAATATGTTGGCGTCTGTGCATGGTTGTCCATGCTGGTAAGATTGTACTGCCCCCTAGTGGATGATAAATCCATCACTGCGGTTACATGCAGACAAGTGTGTGTGTTTGAGTGAATATTTTTGATATTATAAATACTTGTCTGTCTCCCTAGCATTTTCATTTAAATCCTGCTGCTCTGTGATTGGTGCTGTCATGTGCCACTCATGAAAATGACAGGCATCTCGATGAATAGAGCTCTCGACAGGCAGACAATCTATCTCTGTCTCTGACCTTGCCACATACACACACACACACACACACACACACACACACGCACACACACACACACACACACAGGTTTACATTTGTGAAAAGTGGGGACATCCCATAGGCGTAATGGTTTTTATACTGTACAGACCATATATTCTATTGCCCTTTACCAACCCTACCCCTTACAGGAGACTTTGTGCTATTTCAGATTTGCAATACACTCCATTCTGTGTGATTTATAAGCGTTTTGAAAAGTGGGGACATGGGGTAATGTCCTGAAAAGTCACCTTCTCCTTGTAATACCTATGTCATACCTTTGTCATTATACAAATTTATGTCCTCATTTGTCACAAAAACGCATACACACGCACACACACACACACAGAGCTGATCTCTTATGGTCAGTGTCTAGTTTTTGGAGACTGAGTGTCTGTCTCCCATTATGATTGACAGGTGAGGAATTTGACTGGCAGATCTGGCTAGCTAAACCGGCTATTCATGCTCTGTAAGGGTCCCATGCTGTGTGTGTATGTGCGGGTGTACGTCTATAAATGAGAGGGTTGTCTTTGAGAGTCTGCTTTGCGTGAGGGAAGGCACTTCATTAAAGTCACCCCTACGGAGACGCACACACAGGAACCCGCACACATGCACACTCCAAAGTGAAAAGGTTATCCTTTGGGAACTGCTGAATGGAGATTTGATCATGTGACCGGGACTTAAAATCTGATCATGTGAGCCCTGAAAAAAAAAATCTTGTGGTCGTGGCTATTATGACATTCATTGAAAGAAGTTAGTTAATTGATGTTAATTATTACAGGTGGGCTCTTCATAGCTCTTCATTATATTCATTCACACTGTATGATAACAGAGAGAAAGAGACACATTGATTAGATTAGATTATTTTAACTTCTCTCAGTGTTTTATGGTTTTATATGAGTTTTTTTCTCCACAGCAGGAGAAAAGAACGATTGAAAGTGACAGCAAGTGAAGGACAGAGAGTGGGATGAAAGCAGGGATTAAGCTTCTGTTAGTTTTTGTTCATTTATTGAAAAGAGAAAGAGAGCGAGTGAAGCACTTCCTTTAAAGGTGCTCAGGGGTCATCATTCAACCCTCTTTCTCGCTCTTTTATTCTCTTTTTCTTTTTCTGCTCTTGATGCTCTTGATGGGTGTTCCACTCTATGCTGCCACATAAGTTGCGTGTGTGTATGTGTGTGTGTGTGCGTGTGTGTGAGCCTCCCTAGTTGTCTAGCCCACCTCCCACCATGTCTTTGTGCGTGTGTGTGGCGCTTCATTCAATGTTCGTCACCCTGTAGCACTGGGAACAGGTTTTTTTAATTGTTTGATTTGATTTAAATAGTTTGTCTGTGCCTGAATTCGTCTCACTGTCATATGGGTGACAGCTGGAATGTTTGTGCTGTAATCCAGAAGTACGTTTGATCTCATAAATGCGCCCACAGATCGGTGTCGGTGTCCTGTACAGGCACAGATGAACCTGATTAAAGACGATTCCCATTCAGTTCACGCTCAGGTCATGTCAGGATGACATTTTTAAAGAGCGCTGAAGACTTACCCAGGCTGTTTAAATGTCTGCTCTGATGCCTAAAGAACCTGGGGCTTCTGTTAGAAATGTTTGTTTAGTCTCATCATAACTGTTCATTAAAGTTTGGTGTGTGCATATTTGTTGTGTTTCTTCTTTCGGTAATACTTTATTTTGATGGTCCCTTTTAAGCATTCTGTTGACAATAAGTAACTTTGCACCTACATGTCAACTAACTATTAGTAGTATTAGTAGACTGTCTGCTTAATATCTGCCAACTCTTTATTGTGATGATCTCCCAACAGACATTCCTCTGACTATAAGTAACTTTGCAAGTACATGTCAACTTATTCTAACCCTAACCCCACCAGTCTACTAGTACTCTACTGATCATCAAAATAAAGTGAAACCCTTCTTTCAGCTGTTTTATATTTTGTTATATTCAGCTGATAAACGCTGCTTTTGTAAATAAACTTCAACATTTAGCAAGGATTGTGATAGTGTGTGGGATTGATTACATCTTTTTAGCTGTTTATATTTGAAAAAGGTGATAATTCATTCTGTTCTCATTTTGTTCTTGTTTTCCTTCCTGCTTTTTTTTCTTCTGTTGTTTATTTTTTTCACGCTGACAGTATCTGCAGATGTCGATAAATGTTGAATACTATGTGTGATTGTGTTCTTTTTATGTTTTATTTGACCACAAGGCTATTAGTTATGTGTAGATTTCACACTGGTGAAGTGATTAATTATATCATCCCTTTATTTTTCTCTAGTACACTGTCTTCTCTGTCTTATTTTTTATATTGACCATTTATCTAAAGCCGCAGGGGGGCTTGATTTTTGTGGTTCGAGACCAATTTCAGGATTCATAAAGCATTTATTTTGTCATATGGTGAAATAATCAGTCTTTGCCTCTTCTGTCAGACAGACATTTTGTCATTATTTACTCACCCTCTGTTACTCTAAAGCTGCATGACTTTCGTTCTTGTGGAACACAAAAAAATAAATTTTGAAAAAGTTCCGCATCACTCTTTTCTATACAGATTGGAGCTTCGAGTTTAAAAAAATAATACAAAAGCACCATAAAAGTTTCCTAAAAATGACCCACATCTTTCACAGGGGCCCTTATATTTATATTGTTAATATAAAATTGTATAACATTCAACTGCAGTGTTTCCCATTCATTAACCAGACTGTGGTGGCACACTGAACTGACATTATATTTTATATTTATTTACATATTTTTATTTATTATTTATTTGTATTACAACAGAATTACCAGAGATACATTTTAGATACAAAAGAACCTTTGAATATTGACAAAGGGGGGTCTTACAGTCAAAAGGCTGAGAAACACTGAATGGATTCATTGAATTGATTTAATCAGTTTGATTTATCAACTTAAATTTCATATTGCTTCGGAAGACTTATTGCACACAAGTCATATGAACCACTTTTGTGATACTTTAATGTAATTTTTGATGATTGAAAGCTCCCCATTTATTGTTATGGCATGCAAAAAGAGATCAGAACATTCTTCACATCTTCTTCACTCACACATTTCTCCTTCTGTGTTGCAAAGAAGACAGAAAATCAAACAGTTATGAAATGACATGAGGATGACAAGTAAATGATGACAGAATTTTCATTTTTGGGTAAACTAAAATGTTTATTTAAAATTCTGAAAGTTGAGGTCTCAGTCTGCCTTTGCTTTTATTGTACACAACAATAGTGAAGGAAAACAATTCAGTGTACCCATGCTTTAAAGAGATCTACATATTAGTATCTGTCTTCATAACTGCTTATGATTGTTAATGTTCTTTCTCTTTATTTACCAGTGACCTGAGTGAAAATCAAATCCAGGGGATTCCCAGAAAAGCATTCAGAGGAGCTACTGAGATCAAAAACCTGTGAGTCTTCTGTATCTTTGTGTGAAATAGAGAGAGAGAGAGAGAGAGAGAGAGAGAGAGAGAGAGAGAGAGAGAGCTTTGGAGAGAGAGAGAGAGAGAGAGAGAGAGAGAGAGAGAGCTTTGAATTAATGATTGTGTGCTTTAATGAGATGCCCAGGCAAACTGACCATCACACACACACACACACACACACACACACATATATAGGAGGAGTGGGCAGTGCAGGTAGACAATAGTGGAGGAGAGCACAGCAGACAGAGTGAGGAGAAAGGCTGGTAATTGAAGAACAGTGATGAGGGGAGAAAGACTGACAACAAAATGAGTGAGAGAAAAAAAACAGATTGAAGGACAGGAGAGTGAAGGATGTATGTGTTTTTTTAAAGTAAGGATCAGTAATGTTTATGAGAGTGTATTACTCTATTACCATATTCATTGAACACCAAGCAAAAGAACCGACATCATCATCTTCAAACATTATCTCTCTGTTTTTTCTCTCTCAGGCAGCTGGACTATAATCAGATTTCCTGCATTGAAGACGGAGCGTTCCGAGCTCTGCGGGACCTAGAAGTACTGTAAGTGCACTGCATGTGTGTGTGTGTGTGAACTTGTGTGATTGTATTCTGTTGAATTAAAGCCACTGCAGAGATCTTTTTAGATATCATGGTTTTACTAGACTTGGGTCAAAGCTGGGCCACACAGGTTTTTGGACTGTTCCAAAAACCTTTTTGATTTTTAGATTGAAATTGAGATTAGAAAACCGTATATTCATGTTAAATTGGTATGGATTTCTCTGTTGGTGACATGCTGTGTTTGGCTGTCAGATCATGCCTACTGAGTGTTGAATGATTGTATAAAATGCATATCTGCTTTTAAAAATTGGATTAGTGGAATAATCCTGTTAGAGAGAATGGAATCAAGACAGATAAATGGGATTGTGTCAGATTATTTTACTAAGATTAGTTTGATGCTTTGTGACAAATGGACAAAAAATAATGTATGAGCTGTATTAAATATCAGATGTGCATCTATAAAGTGGTTCCCTGCACATAACCACATACATGCATGAAGGCATATTGATATACTGAAAAAAAAACAGTTCTATATGTTTATGTATGAAATATTGTAATAGGAAAACATTCAAAGGATAATTCACCCAAAATTCTGTTATCATTTACTCACTCTCAAACTATACCAAAGAATGTTTTCATACAGAACACAAAAGGAGTTATTTAGCAGAATGTCTAAGATTATCTTTTTTATACAATGAAAGTATATGGTAGGGCTGTGCAAATAATCAAATGCGATTTTCATGCATATCTTATCAGTAAAGCCGGTTCTGTGATTAGTAGTAAATCTCCAGCACGTGCACGCCTGCTATTTTGAACACGATTTTGTGTAGCATGTCAGTGAACTACGGCTCTGTGTAGTAAATGCTGCTCCATCTGAAAGCATGTGCTGGAGATTTACTACTAATCACAGAACCGGCTTTACTGATAAGATACGCATTCGATTATTTGCACAGCCCTAGTATATGGGTACCAGGGGCAGCTGTGGTAACCATTCACTTTCCATTAGTGAAATATTCCTCATTATTGTTCTAAAAAGGTCTATGAACTGATTATCTTTCTCTGACTTTGTTTCACAGCACACTGAACAACAACAATATCTCTCGTTTGTCAGTGGCCAGTTTTAACCACATGCCCAAGCTTAGGACATTGTGAGTATCTCACACACACACACACACACACACACATTGCATTAAATTAGCAATTCATACTGCCGTTGGCATGTTATCCAGCACTTATCATGCTGGCCCTTAATAAGTGTGATTATGAGGTAATAGGGTGTAATAACCACATTAATATGTATGTTTCATTAGCATGCATTTTGTAGATTGGAGTCCTTTGTGTGTGATCATGATTTAATCCCATTTACGTGATGAGCTAAAGTAGGTAATTGCTATATCGGTAATCTGGTCCATGTTTGCTAAACATCTGCAATAGATGATGGAAAGAAAGCCAGTGAATGCCAAGATGGGAAGGACCATTAAGACCATGAAACCTATACTTATACTTATACTTACAATACAGTATTGTTGTAACTAAAACTAAAGGTATTAAAAATCATTTTTGCTGATTGAAATAAAGCTACAAATAAAAGCAAATAACAAAATTACTAAAACTGGAAATATTAAAGTAAAAGATTGTTCAAAATATTAATAGTTGTTATAATAGTATATGAATAATACTAAAACAAAATTGTTACGATAGTTACCCATTTATTTCCATGGGAAAAAAACAAATGCTCATAGGTAGGAGTTCAATAGGGGTATTTTTTTACAAAAAGTTAAACGTAAACGTAAACGTAAACATTAAACCTAAAACAAAAAATAAACAACCCAAATTGTATTTTATCCAGTTGAATAAACATGTTAAAAATCATGTAGCAATTCAGTGACAAGGTGTCTTATCTTTTTAATAAAAAAATACATTAGGAAAAAAATAAAGTATAAAAAAGGTATTTTAATATGTTCAATATATTGATGACCTTCTGTTTCTATTTCAGCAAGTTGATAAAATAACACGAGAGCATTGTAAAACTCGAAGTGGTTTGAATGTTCCTCTGCATTTCAGTGGACTAAAATGATTTGCGTCGTTCTCATTCTTGACCCAACCTATACAAAAGCCTTTCCAAGGCCCATTGGGAAGGAAATAATTGTGGAGAGAGATAAAACAAGAGCAGTATATTTCAGTGCTTTCTAGCTCTGTTCAACATGAAGTTGGTCATAAGTCACTGTGATGATTTCTGCCATGACAAAATGCTCCACAGAATAAACTCTGTCCTCTATCTCTCTGAACACATGCTCTACTGCCATGTCATGTTGGAAAAGATCATTGGCTTGTTACTTCAGATTTTCAAAGCCAGTTACAACAAAATTATGCTTTATATTTAGTTTTAACATTATTCTTGTTAAGGGAAGGACTGCTAAAGCTGCTGACCACACAGAAACACCAGAGTCAACAGAGAAATCATTGTGTGTGTGTGTGTGTGTGTGTGTGTGTGTGTGTGTGTGTGTGTGTGTGTGTGTGTGTGTGTGTGTGTGTTTGCTTGTTATGTGTGTGTGTGTGTGTGTGTGTGTGTGTGTGTTTGCTTGTTGTCTGCAAGTAAATGTCGGTAATTAATGAACAAGAAATTGTCAGATGCAAAGTTGATAATACTCTCTCACACACATGGACACAGGTTTTTGTCGATATACCAGCTTAGACTGCCACTGGACCTTCAAATGACTCTTTCTCTCTGACTCTCCATCTCTCTAGTCGTCTGCACTCAAATAGTCTGCTATGTGATTGCCATGTGGCCTGGCTCTCTGATTGGCTGAGACAGAGGCCCCGCCTTGGCCTCTACACACAGTGTATGGCTCCGCCCTCTCTGAGGGGCCACAACATTGCTGAGGTTCAGAGGAAAGAGTTTATGTGTACAGGTAAGTTTGTGTGTATTTTATTTGTATGGTTTGTTTACAGGAGATAAGAGCCTGTGAGTATATAGAGAATAAATAAATGGATTTGCTGTTTTGTGTTGTCAAAGCTTTCATATTCTGTCCATTTTTCGGCTGTTCTCTTTCTTTTCTCATGCTTTCAAGACTTCAGTGAAGGCAAGTTATCTGTGCTGAAATAACATGGGCAAAAAGTTTTTTTTTTACTTCAAATTTCATTTAGTTGCAATATTCAGTCCACAACTTTTTTGCTTGAGAAAGTTTTTTTTGTTGTTGTTTTAAATTTAATTCAACCTTCAAACTCAATCTTCCTTTGTGTAGCACATCCCCCTGCATCCCTGTCATCTCTCTGTATGTGTGTTTTAGGGCCCCAGTCACACTCGTCCTGTAGTGTGCTGCAGTGTCCTGAGCTGTGCACCTGCAGTAATAACATAGTGGACTGCCGGGGGAAAGGACTGACTGAAATACCCACCAACCTGCCAGAAACCATCACTGAAATGTGAGTGAGGAGCAGACACACAACACATCACACACACCCAGACATTTATTTAGCTATCTAAATGGGAACATTACATTGACTTTTATTGTTTTTAATACAACTAGTTATAAACTTAACTCTAACAGATTTTTTTTTAGAAATCCAATTATTATTATTATTATTATTATTTTATTTTGGGATATTTTGTCTGATTTAGTTCTTTTCTGGGTACAAATTTGTCCCTAAAATATGGATAAGTAGGTAAACACAGACACACACATTCCCATATGCTTCTATTGCTCGTAAATTGTACTAAATATGATCACAGTACATTAATTAAATTGTACCACTAAAATACTTATATATAATATAATATAATATAAAATTATATAATATAATATAATATAATATTATATTATTAATACACAAGGAAAAAATCAGTATAAAAAACTGTACTATGTACTTGAATATATTCATTAGACATCACTATCTATAAGGTATCATACCGATGAAATAATAATTAATAATATTAATTATAACAACACAGTATAGTAAAACACAACTTTTGTTTTGTTATATTATATTATATTATATTATATTATATTATATTATATTTTATTTTATTTTATTTTATTTTATTTTATTTTATTTTATTTTATTTTATTATATGTGACCCTGGACCACAAAACCAGTCAATAAGGGTCCATTTTTTTAATTGAGATTTATACATCATCTGAAAGCTGAATAAATAAGTAAGTTTGTTAGGATAGGACAATATTTGGCCGAGATACAACTGTTTGGAAATCTGGAATCTGAGGCTGCAAAAAAACCTAAATATTGAGAAAATCGCCTTTAAATTTGTCCAAATGAAGTCCTTAGCAATGCATATTACTAATCAAAAATTATGTTTTCATATATTTACAGTAGGAAATTTACAAAATATCTTCGTGGAGCATGATCTTTACTTAATATCCTAATGATTTTTGGCATAAAATAAAAAGCAATAATTTTGACCCATACAATGTATTTTTGGCTATTGCTACAAATATACTGTATATATATACATATTAATGATTTTGTTAGCCTATCCAGTTGAACCCACTAGATGCGGAGCTGCTACGTTGTTCATTCATATACTGCGGAAAACGAGAGCATCGGTGTGGAGAAGATGTTGCTTACGTCAAAACTGAAACCAAGCCGTTCACACAGAACGCATATGTATCACACCCCAGCGAATTTTCTTTGTTTTATTAATATTAATAACTTTTAGATTATTTAATGAAAATATTTTAATCTGTTTCTGGATCATTTTCCATTTGAGAGTATCCATAAAGGAATAGTTAGGTTAGAAACACACACACACACACACACACTCATGTACATAGAGCTGTCACCAACAAGACTATGTTTATACAGTATGTCTTCTTCAGTCTTGTATTTGGTTGAGTGTAATGGTGGATTTGTTTGGCACCAGTCTGATGTCTGCCTCCTTTTTGACAGATGTAGCTTCCACATTCCACAAACACACATACACACAGTCAGGGTTGTATCTGTATCAAGTATTTTAACTACGGAGGCCATGCTGAAGTCATGCACTTTAATGCAGTGTGGAAATGGATTTATTTTATCAATGGCATCTCTTCTGTGGGCCAGCGCTCTGCCAACGGGGCCTGGATTGAGACGCCACATCTTTTTTAAACTGTTGTGCCTCTCACTGCCAGGGTCATTGTCTATCTTTTTTCTTCCCTTCTTTCTCTGTCTGTCATCCCTTCGTTTTTCTTCCTCTGAAAGCCGCATGCAGGGCTTTGGCAGATGAGTCAGATTATCTCATTTGGCTCCGGCTGAATGAAATGTGATTCCTAAATGCATCTACTTTCGGAAGGCCAAATAAAGTGCTTTTGCTTTCGCCTAGAAACACACAGTGTCTCCTGACATGGCTGCTTCAACACTAACTGCGGTTACTGAAACCACGCCTTCTGTCTTTGCGTGCACATTTGGGCGGCATTATGCAAATATTTCCACATAGTGAGGTAGATATGTGGGGGAGTGTTAGAACGAGGAGATTTAGGGGGGCGTGGCAGAGCCTTAACTTTGATAAAGAATATCTCTTTGGGTTTGAGACTTTAGTCTTTGCAACTTCAGGGATCTTATCTATGCACAATCAGCTTGTAACACTCCAAAGAGAAAGGAAAACTTGAAATTGCATCATATGACCCCTTTAAAATGTGAAAATTAAATTAGATTACGTGTACAGTTTTTTTTTACAGTTAAAATACTTTCTTTTCAGGGTTTTATTTCAATTTGTGTGTGCATGGGCATTTGTTCAAATATACACTCAAAACATCAGTTTTGGTTTGCAACTGAAGAATTACAGTAGTTAGTCAATATATGGAAACCTGTTATTGAAATAACATTAAATAAAATAAAAAAATAGGTGATTGTGAGAATTTTTTTAAAATAAGGAGTAAAGTAACATTTGCAATTGTGAGATATAATCACATCGTGAGACAGAAAGTCATAATAACAAATAAAGTCGCATTTGTGAGATACAAAGTCAGAATTATAAGAAATAACTTTACAACTGTGAACTATAATATGTCAGTAGTGACAATAATGAGAAAAAAATCATGATCATCTCTTTATTATTATAATTTATTTATTATTTTATTTTATTCAGAGTGGGTAACCGGCTTCATTATTCAATTATTACTAAAGCAAAAGTATCTGATAAGAGGGATGTTACTAAGATAAAGTGAGACGGTCCCATTAGGCGACCCACGCCATGTATATTAATTCCTATTAGGGCTGTCAAAAAAAAAATTTAATTTCAAATATTCGTCGAATAAAAAGAAAAATCAAAATTTAAGGTCTGCGTCAGCCATCAGGCAGCCTTATCAGTGGCGCACGAGATGCAATGACGATGTATGTGTCATTGATTGCATTTTAATGCTTTTGTTAGCCTATCCAGTTGAGCCCACTAGATGCGGCGCTGCTACGTTGTTCATTCATATATTGTGGAAAACGAGAGCATCAGTGTGGAGAAGATGTTGCTTACGTCAAACCTGAAACCAAGCCGTTCACACAGAACACATATTTATCACATTTTCTAGAGGGACATCTATCAGCGTTGCACTCGCGTCTCGCAGAGAACGGCATGTGTAGAAAGCCATGTAAAATTAATGCAAGTTCAACTTTAAAAAACATGTCTAAAGATATTATGGCGGTTTTTCCCCATCCCACTGTATCTCATGTTTTTAAATGAAGAAAGTAGCCTACTTTTGTGATTGGTTTTCGGTCCTTTGTATTAAACTATGCATACATGCATGGTGCTGTTTTTTTCTAATTGTTTAAGCAACTTTATTAATTATATATGGTTTATAAACATTATTTTAAACACTATGCACTTTTTTCCAAAGATAGTCGTGTTATTTTATTACGCTTTGAAGAAACATGCATAATATTTTGCTCGATGCGCCCTCTTGTGGCCTCAGGAGAGAAGCCAAAAGCTTTTTCCCCCTAACTGAAATTATGCCTTTTAAATTTGAATATAATTTGAATTTTGATCATATTTAAGTAGAAAATTCGAATGTAGTTTTTCAGTCATTTTGACAGCCCTAAATCCTATAGCAGCCTTATCATGTGACCGACTTAATGTAAAATACAACAGTTTTGCTACTAATATAACTGATTCTAATATAACTGTTCTTTTCCTAAGCGACAAATGTTTTAATGTAAAAAAAACCTGAGTGCACTTTTAAGGCAATGTTGAAATTTCAGTGTGTTCATAATTCAATTTTTCATGGAACACAGATGTTGGATTTGTTCTTAGTCTGACCAAATCACTCAAGCACACACTCATCCAGACATGGGCACTGCCTCAGACTGGAACTACAGCAAACAGACACAGCTGCTACACTGTGATTAAAGTCATCCCAGAGATATTGACATTAATCTTACATTTGTGCCTGTCACATTGATTTCCCCCCTCTTTTGTCTTGGTACCCCTCTTATTGTATTAAATTTCTGTATTACAAAAACAGACTCTAAACCCAGAATTAATGTCCAAGGTGTAGCATTCCAAATCAGTCATCGCCCATTTCCCATCATACTTTTCCAATAACTCCTCAATACTGCTGTCAGTGCCCGTCATTTTCCAGTTAGCCTCACCTGGATTATTCCCTCTTCCACGTTCCCTCCATTTGTTGATCTGGTTTATTCTCTCTGTTCACAGCCGACTGGAGCAGAACTCCATCAAGATTATTCCACCAGGAGCCTTCTCACCTTACAAACGGCTGCGGAGAATGTGAGTGTGTGTGTCTATGTGAGCACACATACATACATAATCACACAAACACACTTATTCCTCATCTTTCTCTAATTTTCTTGTTTTTTTTTTGTTTTTTTTTAGAGATTTGAGTAATAATCAAATAACTGAATTGGCTTCAGACTCCTTTCAAGGTCTCCGATCTTTGAATTCTCTGTAAGTATATATATATATATATATATATGCATATTTGTGTGTGTGCGTGAGAAGAGAATGTAAGAGTTATATTAAGCTTCCATCATTCTCTCAATTTTTGATGATCTGACTCATTCAAGCTTTTAGAGAACAGAGCAGATAAACCCCTGTAGAGTCTGAGTCAACGTAACCACCATTCAAACATAGAGGACATTTTCATTTCGATAGATGAACAGTTTTAAAGACACCTCCAGTGATTGTTCTATCTTTAAATAAGTTGTATAAATAAAGAAATGAATAGTTCTGATCTCATGAGGAAATGTAAGTATTTTACAAGGTGGCAGTTTTGTATGAATTCATACGATGTGACTTGTTTAAGAAAAAGTAAGCATGGTAATTGCAAGACAAATGACAAATTTATACTGTATATGGCTAAACCCTTAGAATATGAAACACACTAATATAAGCTCTTGCTCAAATACATTAAGCTATTTGTTTTGGCCTGGCATTTTCAGTGTGCAAATGTGTGTGTTTTAGGGGGATGGGATGTATATGTCTTTCTTGCTTGGTCTCTGTATTTTTTTTGGTTTACTTTACTGACCGGCTTCCAATGAGCCAGAACTTAGTGGGCGGAACAGTTCTCCCCCCCTCTCTCGTTCCCTTCGGACCAGCCTCTTAGGAATACCAGCCAGCCATTTAAAATCTCTCCTCCTGAAAAAATACAATTTCAAGCCAAAAGAGATCACACACATGCAAGTCCTGACATGACATCACAGTAATGAAATACTTCAAATGCAGGCACAGACCGATTTTTTAAATAATTTTTTTAGATGCTGATTTTGGGTGGAAATCTGCCTGTTAACAGAATTGTGTACTACAAACTGAGAAGTAGCTTAAAGAATAATCTAATTAGTCAAAATATTTAATGTATAAACATAAAAAAGTACAACGTAAAAGACAGACGTTCCAAATTGTGATGCTTTCTGTAAAGTTTCTGTGTGGGCTGCACATATATAGGATATCAGCATATAGCCAAAGCCACAATGCCATTATTCATTCTAAAATAAAAATGCCAAGAAATATTTACCCTCCGTGGCTCTTACAGATTAGTCCTGAATTTGCCAGTATTCATCACCCATTTTTACGACAACATCAGTTTGCGTAGGGTTACAGACCATTAAGATAAAGTAATGAATATTAGATGTAATTGAGATGTTATATTCATCATAAGAAGATTATTGCGCATATGTTTTTGATGATTTTACCTCATGAATCTGGGTCTGTATGATTTAATTTCTTTTTAAATATGATTCGTCACTGGTTGCACTGGGATGATTTGTGGTGGTGCATCTTGTGCTCTGTTTGAGGAACCATTTCTGATGAATGGTTGTGTGTGTGGGTGGGTAATGAACATCTTTAATCTTTGCTTTTATTTAATGTTCCCTTGTGTTTCTGCCTTTCAGGGTTTTATATGGGAATAAAATCACTGAACTTCCCAAAGGCCTTTTTGATGGACTATTCTCATTGCAGCTACTGTGAGTAATGCACATTCTATGAATTTATGCTTGAAAATGCCATGAAGGAAGGGCGTTTATTTCTCTCTGAGTGTAGGTGGGTCCTGCCAAGTCTGAGGACTAGCCATTGGAAAATGGTTTAATAAACATACTAAATAATGACTCAATTAAAATCTAATAATGCCAAATGGTTTGTGTGAAGGGAAATTTCATTAGCTCAAGATACCAACATTTTAGTAGTTGACATCAATGCCAGTAATTCTCAATATCAGCTTAAATACCACAGCAAAATGAATATGCTATTAAACACCATATTGGGAAACTTTACCAGTATTTCTCAGTAAGTCAGCATTGCTTCAATTTAACAGTCAGTAATAAAGAAGAAAACCTTTTTTTTTTCTCTTTTTATTGTCAATATTGTCATTGAGTGTTAATGACACACTTGACAGAGACAAGTACATTAGGCTGCATTTATAGTCTGATATTTTGAGGCAAATCTTATATCTAACCAAAAGTGTTTACATAAATATCCTACCAAGGCAAGAATTTTTTATTTTAATATCCAGTTAGTACTGCAGTTGCGGTACAGGTACTTTTGACATCCATAGCTCAGTGTAAAAACAATAGGTGCTCACATAATGATAGAAAAAGACAAATGTGTGTGTGTGTGTGTGTGTGTGTGTGTGTGTGTGTGCGCGCGTTTTTGTGACAAATGAGGACATAGATTTGTATAATGACAAAGGTATGACATAGGTATTACAAGGAGAAGGTGACTTTTCAGGACATTATCCCATGTCCCCACTTTTCAAAACGCTTATAAATCACACAGAATGGAGTGTATTGAAAATCTGAAATAGCACAAAGTCTCCTGTGAAGGGTAGGTTTAGGGGTAGGGTTGGTGTAGGGCATTAGAATATACGGTCTGTACAGTAGAAAAACCATTACGCCTATGGGATGTCCCCACTTTTCACAAAAACAAACCTGTGTGTGTATGTGTGTGTGTGTGTGTGGGCGGATAGGACCGTAAGCCTGACACATTTCCCTGATGACAGACAGCACAACTGGACATAAATGCACACACATACCACATACTTCCGCTGTGTGTGAATGTGAGGAGTATGTTTAGGAAATACTTGTTAATCCAAGTATTTATGGGGTTTTAACAAGACCATAAGCATTTGGAGCTACTACATAACATTACAACCTCACATGCACTCAGACTGTGTTGAAAGTGAATATAAAAAGATTGTACTCCCTCTCACTCTTGAATTATTCAGAAATAACTAACATGTGAAACACACATTTGTGTATGCTCACAAATGTAAAAGTTTAGTGGCAATAACTCACATCGCACACACAGTTTTATTGCTTTGCAGGAGATGCGGAACATATAAATCCTGTTTATACGAAAGCTGCTTTGTAAAATAAAGCCTCTGTTTATTCACAACATTGTTCTGCTATAAGGCACTGTAAATGAGACAGCAGGGATTTTTTTTCTAAGTCTCGCTCATACGTTTGTCTAGAAATGTTAATCTATTTGCATATGGCATTTATACTTTCTCAATTTACAACTCATGTATAGATTTTCCTGTTTGCCTGAGAGATTTGTGTAAAATGTCACATACAAATGTTTATCCCAACAGGTTGCTAAATGCGAACAAGATCAACTGTTTGCGCGTAGATTCTTTCCAAGACCTGCAGAATCTGAATCTTCTGTCACTTTATGACAACAAACTCCAAACCATCGCAAAGGGAACCTTCTCTTCTCTCCGAGCCATCCAAACACTGTGAGTTACACTAAGTAACATTTGTTACCCCATAAACCCTTTTGACTTTAGTATAATGACATCTCAAAGGGTATCATCTCTCTATAATGTCATGTTTACTTATTTTTTACTGCATTTAGACAGTATTAATATGTATGTAAGCATGAAAATGCATAGCTGGCTTTATATTTTTGAAAGGAGGTCCCTTGTATCATCATATTGAGGGAATTTTAAAAAGTCTTGGTATAGAATATTAGGCCCATGTATGATCAATGTCATGCAGTCATATTTTAGGTTGGTCAGTAGGTTGAGAGTAAAACATATTTGGTTTTTCAAGAAATTGAACACTTTATTTATGACCGTCATTCATAATTATGTTGAATATTTTATGTTTATTAGTCATTTGGCCCAGAATCCCTTCATGTGTGACTGCCATTTGAAGTGGTTAGCTGACTACCTGCAAGACAACCCGATTGAGACCAGCGGAGCTCGATGCACCAGTCCCCGCCGGCTTGCTAACAAACGCATCGGCCAGATCAAGAGCAAAAAGTTCCGCTGTTCAGGTACATACAGCCATGAAAATCGGTAGTTCAGTATATGTGTAATTTTGAGTAATTTGCCTAGACTTGCTTACAGATGCTAAGTCTTGACCCTACCTCTTCCTGTCTGTCCCTGACAGGAAGTTGGACTTTAGCATCAGTGTGTGTGTGTGTGTGTGTGTGTGTGTGTGTGTGTGTGTGTGTGCGATCAGGGGTGTAAACATCTTAGTCAGCTTTCACTTACACCGACATATACACAGTTCTGAGGGTCTCAGCATGAGTTATCTTCTCCCGTCTAAGCAGATTATAAATCAGAATGCAAATGTGTGTGTGTGTGTGGGGGGGGGGTTATTATTAGTTTACTGTCTGTCAGTTGAGTATTGATCGCTGTGGGGTTATAAATTAGCAGGATTCTCTGATCAATATTCATATTCATTTATTGATCTACATACACACAGCTTTCCTCTCAGTTCTCTGTGTATCTCTCTTTGTTTAGCTAAAGAGCAATATTTTATACCAGGTATGTTCAGCTACTAAACATTTTGTCTGTGTGTGTACTGCACAAAAGCCTTTGGACTACTACACTAATGCACGCAAATGACATGCACATTATTATGCAGATAGATTTTTGCTGAATATGCATAGAAGAGCAAAGCATAATGTTGCTGTGTTATTGTGTAGCATGTGGGTCAATGACAATGCTCATAATCTAATCAGAATCTAATCATTTATTTAAAAATACATTATAAATCCAGTTCATACATACAATGACTTTAATACCTCTTCTTTTATGACTGTCTTTATTAATTAAAAATATATTATAAAAATTATTATAATTTAGTATTTATTTAGTATTTTTATTTCTTTTATACTCTACCATTCAAATGTTTTGGATCAGTAAGTTTTTTTTGGTTTTTTTGAAAGTGGTCCCTTATACTCACCAAAGCCAATTTTTGAATTCAATTTTTTTTCAATTTTTCATTGTCTTTGCATAGATAGGGTCACATACAATTGTCCAAAATCTTCTTCACAATAAACAAAACAAGCTGACCCTCTGAACCACTCCAACCTGATTTTGTTTATTATTTTGTAAAAGTAATTTGATCATTTTAATGTATCCGAATAAAAGCTGAATATTTATTTATTTACTTACTTTCTCTCACTCTCCCTTACTGGACCCAAACTTTTTAATGATAGTATATATATATATATATATATATATAATGTGATATATTTGATAATTACAGTAATAAACGTAATATTGTAAAATTGTAAAATAACTTAAAATGACTCCTGTTTTAAGATTTTTAAAACATTTTATTTCCTGTGATGCAAAACTGAATTTTTTAGCATCATTACTCCAGTCTTCAGTTTCACATGATCCTTCAGAAATCATTCTAAGATACTGATTTGGTGCCTAAGAAACATTTCTTATTATCGTCATTGTAGTAAAAAGTAGTGCAGCTTAATATTTTTGTGGAAAGGGTTTTTTTCCCCCCCAAGATTCTTTGATGAATAGAACAGCATTTATTTGAAACAAGTCGTTTGTAACACTATAAATGTCTTTACTGTCACTTTTGATCAGTGTAATGCATCCTTGCTGTATAAGAGTGTTAATTTCTTTCAACAAAAATTCGTTCTGACTGAACATTAGTGTATGTACATAAATGTATAAATAATGATTTTATTGGTTTATTCATAGGAATGGCCAAAAATTTGGAAAGCTAATCTGAAAAAGAATCCAAATGATCCAACGCTGGTTTCAGGTCTAATCTCATGTCTTCTCAGGTAGGTTCATGTTGTCAGATCATCTTCGAGCAGAAGTGTTTCTTCCGTGTCTTATGTCATGTGTTTATTTTCTTTCCCGATCCCAGCTACCCAGATCACCCAGTCATGAAGTTGCTGAAGAGGCTTCAGTATCGGGTGTATAACAGACTGTATCCTATAGTGAGCCAGTGTGTTCCTCTGAGCACAGCGCCTGGTCACTCACTAGTACCCTTAAAGCCCTCCCGCAGTGCCCAAAGCCTGCTCCTGTCCGACAGTCCTATCTCTCCACAGCAGCAGCAGAGCCCGCTCAAATCTGCTATGACACACAGTTTATCTGACGCCTCCATTTCTTTTTCCCCATCCCACGACCTCAATGCCAACAACACAAAGTCTGAGACAGACTCGGATGAGTTCTCAACTCTGGTCTCTACAGATAGGGAGAACTCTTTTGAGGATCTAGAGAAGTTTCTTACTCAGCTGGACTGGGTTCCTTCTCACAGTGGTGATGATACAGACTCTGATGTGACCTTCGAAGTTGTGTACATATGTAATTAAATGTATGCTTTTCCTAAAAATGATTATTAATACTATATAGTTATAAGAACTGGGCATGTGCTTTAAACCAAAATACAAATACAGTTATTGGTTTAATTAAGTTGCTAGATGAGCAAGCACACAATGGCGCTTCAGTCTAATGTTAATTTGTTGTCAAACCTTCACCAGCTTGATCAGTGTCACTCTTGCTGTGTGCATGCTCACAAATAGCACACAGTGGCATGGATCTAAGACTCGGGTTTTCCAGTGTTCGCAGGTATTTGGGTTTGACTGTTTGAGTGTATTACATATTCTCTCTCTTCCTTTCTCGCACACACACTCAGGGATTCATCATATCAATAAGTGTAAGTAACTGACACAAGACTAGTAAGACGTCACCCAACAAGCCCTTCCCCCCTCAACCCCAACCAATCACAGACCAGGAATCCAAATATATGTGAAAATGTGCTCAGAGGTTTATGAAGCACACAGTGTGAATTGAACGTGTACGTGTGTGTTTGACTGTGCATATAACTGCTGGTTCATGTTTGTTTACTGTACAACAGCTGCAATATTCCTGCCACACTCTTCTGTTTCTCTCTTCTCTTTTTCCCCCGCATCTCTCTTCTCTCTATCACGCTCTCCACTAGTTTATCACGGCTAAACAAATAACTGTCTCATTCTTTAGCTCTCAATCCTTTGCTTCTCTTTCTCTCTTTCTCTCTCTGTGTCTTGTGGAGGAAATTCAGCGGGGTTTTCCTTTGTGCTTGATCTAACCATGTGGTTGCAGACTCGGACTAATACATGGTTCTGTCAAGCACCACGGAAGGTCTTGCAGCATCTACAGCATGGCAAGCAACAAGAGACAACCTTTGTATGTGTGTGTGTGTGTGTAAATGTGTTTGTCTTCGTTTGTATGAATGTACAGTTAAGAATATGTGCATCGCCTTTTCCCACTTATAAGCGTGTGTCTGTGTGTGTACACAACACTCCAAAGTCATGGCTAGTATGTCAGCATGGCTTTATGTGTTGATAAGAATGATAATACCATAATTGCCATGGTGATAACTGAGTTTCCTCTGGTCTAGCACAATTAACCTTTAACGTCCTCCTTCCCAGTGACCCTCTACTTTTACCACTCTACCTTTCCACCCAAACGTCTTCAAGCTTACTCCTCTCCTTCTCTCTCTCTCTCTCTGTCCTCTATTTCTCTCATACACACTTTATTTGTGATTGTGTGGTGTGTAATGGTGTGCTGTTTGTGTGTGCGTGTGGTTATGTGTATAGGTGTGGAAGACTACCGATCAAAACTAGGTGGGGATTGCTTCGCTGACCTGGCGTGCCCAGAGAAGTGTCGCTGTGAAGGAACCACAGTGGACTGCTCTGGACAAAAGCTCACAAAGATCCCAGACCACATACCTCAATATACAGCAGAACTGTGAGTGTCTCTCATTTAAGGTTCAGTTCTGCCAAAAATACTAAACATTGTCTACTCATTCCAAATCACTGGAAGTCCATTTCAACAAAACTTTGACGTTTCAAAAGGTTCATATAGATTAAATTCTGAATAGTGCACAACCTTTATTGCTTATAAACATATAAACACATACAGATCAATTCATCTACAAATAATTGTATTGTGTTTTGTGTGTTTCATTTGTTTTACATGCAGCCGCTTGAACAATAATGAATTTACAGTGCTGGAGGCTACAGGAATCTTTAAGAAGCTTCCTCAGCTGCGCAAAATGTAAGTCTCTTTCTGTGTCTTTGTCATCTGTCATTATACAGTTTAAGGCTGGAATACACTACACGACTTTTAAAAACTGAAGAGATCTTAAAATACTGAGCATCATACAGTTACCGAATTTGTAATAGTCACAAAAGAAAAACTTGCCATCATACACTAAACGACTGAGGATCAGGAATACTACCAGACTTTAAAGTCGTTTCGATCACAACAAACCCACGCATAAACATGCGCCTTGTTGTTAGGAGATACGTGACAAATGAAAACAATACACGTTCTAAAATCAAACATGTTTAATATCCTCTGACTGGATGGAATCATAGTCTGAAGCTTAAAAAACAGAGTCTGTGACCATCATACACTATGCGATTTTCTATGAAATCTGTAAACTGAGTGAATGAATGAATGATGCGTTTATGTAGCACTTTCTTGTGTTTTACTATACACCCAAAGTGCTTTACAATCTTATGGGGGGTTTCTCCTCAACCACCACTAGTATGTCAGTATGCGATTTTCTATGAAATCTGTCAACTCAAATCTGCAGACTGGCTCTGACTTTCGACAACTATAGCATCAACTTCTCCAGACTGTAAATCGGAAGAAAATCGGGGCAACAATTGTGTAGCGTATTCCAGCCTTTAGGCCAGCATCATCAGAGCACTTAAAGTACCATGCCAACTTGCTTTGTTTTACAGTAATCTTAGTAACAATAAGATCACAGATATTGAGGAGGGCACATTTGAGGGGGCCAGTGGAGTGAATGAACTCATACTGACGAGCAATCGCTTAGAGAGTGTCCACTACAGCATGCTGAAAGGCCTCAGCGGCCTCCGCACACTGTGAGTATCACATGCTTGCACACTTGACTGAATGACTCGATTGAACTTCAGGACAATGCATCCAGATGCTGTCAAAAAATAATTTCTAGGTATGATTTTATTCTCAGGTGTGGGCACATTGGTCTGTGTGTTCCAAACCAAATTCGCAGCTTCTGGCTGTTTTAAATGATTATGTGTGTGTGTTTGTCATGTGCAGGATGTTGAGGAGTAACAAGATAAGCTGTGTCAATAACGGTAGTTTTACTGGTCTGAGCTCTGTGAGACTGCTCTCCCTCTATGATAACCTGATCACCTCCATGTCCCCGGGAGCCTTTGACACACTACATTCCCTCTCAACACTGTGAGTATCAAACCACAGTATCAACAAAGTGTTTTGTTTTGTTTCAGTAAAGCTGTCCCATAACCGATTTAGCTGCCTTGCTACCTAAATACAGTAGGTGACTGTCTTCTGAAGGAACATCCTTATCTTAATGACCTGTTTACACCAAGAATGATAACTATAATGAAAACTACAACAATATTTATATTAGCATTCACACCAGTGCACAATAACACCGTTTCTAACTACACGCGATTCGATGCGACGCCGCAACACACGATAAAAGGTATCTTTTCCATGTTAATCAGAGTTTTTGTCCTAACTAGCCGCGACAGGCAACACGCAAAATTTCTAATTTATAAACGGTTTCTATTTCCACGACGTCTGGAACAACAACATACAAACTATATGACAGTAGATAATCTCAGGTGATTATGTGCTTTATTCAAGGTTAAATGTCTCTAATATGAGTTTAAATATAATTTTGTGTGACCTTATAGCCATACTGAAAGCAACAATAGATAGTTTACCTCAGATCTTGAAAATAAATTAAAGCAAAGATGACCGTTAAAACTGTGAACTCACTGCGAACCAACGAGTGTATTCCATGACAAAGATCAGTCACTCAGTATATGTACATTTAATGATGTTAAAAAGCTTTCATATTTATGAATTAGATTATAAACATATCCATTTCGTTGCAAGAGCAGTGCGCTTCCAGAGAGAGCCGCTTCTGATTGGCTGTGATATTTGATTGATTCTGTCGCATCGTGGTGTCGCATCGCGTCTAGTGTGGACACCCAAATTGCTTTTCGTTGGAATCTTGGCGCGTCACGTGTAGTTAGGACACGGTGTAACATTGTTTATTGTAAGCACACACAGTAGTTATGTTGCCTGCTGCTTTAAATGTTCAATTTTGTTAAAGTTGGGTGGATTCATTGGTTGTCAATGTTTTATTGTTCATCAGCAGGAAAAAAGTTATGGAAGTCATTCCTCTGTTTCGTTATTGTTATAGGTGTTGTGTGGACTTCCTTATTCTAAACAGAAGTTGCATAATTACTAAACCCTAATAATTATCATTATAGTTGTAGTCCTTGATGTGAACAGGCCTTTAAAGTAATAGTTCACGCAAAAATGAAAATTTTGTCATCATTTACTCACCCCCATGTCATTCCAAACCTGTATAAGTTTCTTTCTTAGGTTGAACATAAAAGAAGATATTTTGAAGAACCAAACAGTTGTTGGTCCCAATTGACTTCCATAGCAGGGAAAGAAATATTATGGAAGTCAGTGGGGACCATCAACTGTTTGATTACCTGCATTCTTCAAAATACGATCTTTTATGATCAACATAAGAAAAAAACTACAGGTTTGGAACGACATGAGGGAGAGTAAAAGATGACAAAATTTTCATTTTTGGGTAAACTGTCCCTTTAAGGAGGTGACCAATATGAATCATTCTACATAAAAAGAAACTCAGTGCTTCACTCAAATAGCATTTTATACAGAAAACTTGACTTAATACAGTTTCACGTTAGCAAATTGATAAGCTAATTCCATGATACTCTATATTATTATGAAATTACAAGAAAAAACACAAATACTAGGATAAAGCAGTGAACTTTAAAACAGGTCAAATTGTTACTTATTTAGCAAAATCTCGCCTCATCTGCCATCTGATTTAGTAAAGTTGCCTGCCTTTCAAGACGGTAGTGTGCCTATGCAGGCACCTCATTAGGTTTTAAAACAGAGCTTTTGTTTGTGAGCTTCTGGAATGTTTTTCTAAATATTTGCTACATATTTTTTCCTTATGCGATCCCACAGGAACTTGCTGGCCAATCCGTTTAACTGTAACTGTCATCTGGCCTGGCTAGGGGAATGGCTCCGTAAGAAACGGATTGTCACAGGCAACCCCCGCTGTCAGAGCCCATACTTTCTTAAGGAGATCCCTATTCAAGATGTGGCCATTCAAGACTTTGCCTGTGAAGACGGTACGGCTATGTGTGTGTGTGTGTATGTGGGGGGGGGGATGTTTAGTACATGTGCATGTGTGTTAGAAGATCTTGTTTCTAGCTCCTAATAGGACTTTGATAAGATCTGTTATGCTAACATGAGCATAGCTCAGTGTTATCCTTCCTTTACACAAACTCAGGCAAGCTTACAAAAACAATTACTTTGGCATATCTTCACATCGAAAAGCTCATTTCAAATGTCATTATTCTCGGCTTCTGATAAATGAGAACATTAACATGATGATTAATTTTCTCTTTGTGTGTGTGCAGGTAATGATGAGAATAGCTGTTCACCCCTGGCTCGCTGTCCTGCTGAGTGTTCGTGTTTGGATACGGTGGTTCGCTGCAGTAATAAAGGACTTAAGGTTTTACCCAAAGGCATTCCTAAAGACGTTACAGAACTGTGAGTGTACACAAACACACTACGGCCACAAACCTCACAGCAATTTCATAATAAATGGCCATTTTAAAAAATCCCCTTATCTAATCCAGGCACACCTTTTTTGTAAACCCAGCTGTCTCCACCAACATATTTGACGTCTGAAATAATACATGGCTGCTATATATATGTCTTTGAAGTTTTTTCCTATTACAGTGTTGCTAATGTGCTATTTCCTCTGTGTTTGAGTAATAACTTGTTTGTCTTTTTCTGATAGCTATCTCGATGGCAACCAGTTCACACAAGTCCCTCTGGAACTATCCAATTATAAACACCTCACTCTCATGTAGGTACAGCCCTCTCTGGAGTCACCCAATCACAAATACTTCACAGTTATCAGGTCCCTGCCCCTTTAAAACCAGCCAATCATAGCAGACCTGCACTCTTTTAAATGGACAGAGTTAGCCTGTGCATATGGTGTTTGATCCATTTTCCATGATCCATCCAGCCAATGCCAGAAAATTCCAATGTTTGTAGCTGTATTTTGAGGGTTTATTTAGGCTTTTCCCCTTATTTCCTGTGCTATGAGAACATATCACCAAATGAATAAAGTACTAATTAACAATGATCATTATACAGCATACACACAAAAAATGCTTTTTTTCAGTCATCGTTACTGATAAGTAATTATTTTATGATAAGGGAGACATACAAAATGTGCGGAGCGGGGGATCCACAGGACCAGGATTAAGAACCACTGGTTTCAAGTAATTTATAAGACTGTCAATGGTTTTTGTAGGTTTATTGTATTATTTTCATGAATGCAAATTTCCACAAAAGTTAATTCAATGAAGCAATGCCTCTAAGATGTTGAATGCTGCTGTATGTTGTATTATGACTTCAAGTCTAACACATTACTATTGTAGATGCTTTGTGTTTGCTGTTTGCAGTTTTAAAGGTCACTGCATACTGCATTGAAGTTCAGCCGTCTTAGTGTCTTTAACATAGAAGTTTGCATGTGCATTGTCTTATGCCATGCATTAAACCATGTAAAGTGTCATATGTAATTCCTTGCAATCATTCCTTGGGATAATTAGGTTTAAATATTCCACACACAAAAAACTGTAATGCAGTAAAAAAAAAAAAAACATGAATGAAAAAATCCTACATATAAAGAATCTTTTGCTTTTTAATGCTGTACAACATTGTGTTATTGCCATTTACCCTAAATGTTGGCTTTAAGTGTTTGATTTCCTTGTGGCTCTTAACACTCTGCCTTTGTTTGTGTGTGTGTGTGTGTGTGTGTGTGTGTGTTTTCTTGCAGCGATTTGAGTAATAACCAGATCAGCACATTGTCCAACCACAGCTTCAGTAACATTTCCGAGCTGCTCACCCTGTGAGTGTCAACATGATCTATGGCTTCGGTTTGTGCGTCTGTGTGTTTTTTGTGCAAACACTAGTGTGGTTGTGTATGTCTGTAGCTGTGCATTGTGTATGTGTGTGTGTGTGTGTGTGTGTGTGTGTGTGTGTGTGTGCGTGTGTGTGTGTGTGCTTGTTTCTGTGGTTTATGAGGACACAAATTTGTATAATAACATGGGTATGACATAGGTATTACAACGTTACTTTGGTGTCCCCATAATTCAAAAGGCTTATAAATCATACAGAATGAGTTTTTTTGAAAATCTTAAAACGTTTCCTGTGAGCGGTAGGTTTAGGTATAGGGTTGGTGTAGGGATAGAAAATATGGTTTGTACAGTTTAAAAACCATTACACCTATGGAGAGTCCCCAGAAACCATAAAAATGTCTGTGTGTGTGTGTGTGTGTGTGTGTGTGTGTGTGTGTGTGTGTGTG